AAGTACCTGCTATGTGTCAGGCCCTGTTCTAGCTACTGAGGGTCTAGCAATGAACAAAACAATCTCTGCCCTCATGAAATTATATTTTAGCAAACTGGGAAATACAGAAGCATTTACCATGGAAGGAAGGATTCAATTCAGCAAGTATTTGGGGGGCTTCTTAACACTGTACTTAGTGCTGAGGGCTACAAAATTGTAAAACATGGGTTCTTGCCCTTGAAGGTTGAAACATTTAAGTAACAATATGAGGTTATGGACCAGGACAAGTGGTGTTAGTTGTTCAGAGAAGACAGAGGTCAGTCAGAGTGAGCTGGAGTAGGGAGGAACTGACATCACAGATCAGATAGGATTTCAGCTGGTTTCCAAGGAGGCATAGGATACGGTCCAGGAGCCCAAGGGGGCATCTGAGGCAATGGAAACAAATTGACAAAACAAGTAAGACACACAGTCTACAGTATCATCTCTGCATGTGCAGAAGGTGTTTGCTGTGACCTTCTTGGACCTTCCCACTCTGCATCTCTGTATCCCTTCTGTTCCCAAATACTTGGGGTCTCCTCACTTTTTGGGAATACATAGGTATGTGTACTGCAAGCATTAGTGGTTTGGAAGAAGTGAAAGGAGTTACATCACAGCACACCAGCCAGTGCCCCAGTTTTGACTCTCATTGCCTTTAAAGCTACATAGCCATCTTTGTTGTGGGTAGTTCTTTCCAATTACATGTTCTAGTTGACATCATGGTGCTTAGGACCACCTCTTCCTAAAATTATTTTCATCTCTTTTACAGTCAGTATCACTGTTTCTTACTCAGAACTTAGGCCTTTGAAGTCTTGAAAGCTCTTTGTTAGTCTACCAGCTTTCTCTGTTTTTACATTGTTTCATTTTGTGGTTTTTTGAAAAGATAATACATTTACATGATTCAAAATCAAAAAAGTGAAAAATCTACCATCAGGTTTCTTTCTGCACTGTCAGCCAATTTTATCAGTTCTATCTGTATATTACAGAGCTTTTTACATCCATATATAGGCAGATGCTTTAACCCCCTCCTGTCAAATGGCAATATATGTATGCACTATATGTATGTGTATCTGTGAGATATATATATATATATATGTAGTTGTGTGTGAGTGTGTGTGTATACACCTGTACTTTGCCTTCTTCATTTAACAATATCTCTGGGAAAGTTCCATATCAGTATATAAATTAGCTTTTTATTCTTTATGGCTATGTAATATTCCTTTCCATAGAAATATCTATTATTTTCACTAGTTGTCTATGGTGAAAGTTGTTAGTAATCTCTAGCTGTTACAGCAGTGCTGCAATCTATGTATGTGTATCATCTCACATATATATATATGGATATAGCAGTATAGGATAAATTCCTAAAAGTGGAATCGCTGAAATATATGTATTTACTAGAGCAGAGAGGAGTATGTTTCATTTTTTGAAAGGCAATAACAATGATCATGATTCAACATTTAAAGGATAGAGAATTAAGTTTCTTTATACCAATTTATTGCCACTACCCATTTTCCTTTTGGAGATAATCACTGCTCCCAACTGCTTATATATTATCTCTGAGATATTCCAGGTTAAACAAGGTTGTAGATTATGATAGAACAATATCTTATATTCAAGCAGATTTTTGTGTTCCTCTGTACTGAAGTCTGTGGGAAGCAGAAAGCTTTTGTCAATTAAAACAGACACCTGGCTTTATTGTAACTGTGTTAGAAATGTTCTTTATGGTTGTATCAATCTGTTTTGGCCAACATGTCTTCCTCATAGTGGATCACATCAGTATAATGATGGTTCCTTTGACTTTAGAGGAACCATCCTGTATGTTCATTTTAGAGCAAGGGTCAACAAACTCCTGTAAAGGGCCAGATAGCAACTATTTTAGGCTCTGTGGGCCGTATGGTCTCTGTCACAACTCCTCAACTCTGCTGTTCTAGCAGGGAAACAGCCATAGATAGTGGAATATGGTACAGTGGCTGTATTGCCACTTTATTTATAGTACAGAAATTTAAATTTCTTATCATTTTCATATGTCACAAGATACTATTCTTTTGATTTTTTTTCAGCTGTTTAAAAATGTAAAAAACATTCTTAACTTGGCCATACAGTCTCAACTGGTTACTTCCTACTCCTGTTGCACAGTTGATATTGAGTCTTCCTTCACCATCACCCTAGGGGTTCCTTTATCCTTTCTCTTGGATAAGATCTCTTATCTCCTATGTTCATTTATTGATTTACTCCCTCATTTTGGTGATACATATCCTTTGTGGGTTTCCTGAGAGTGTGAGTGAAAATGTTTTTAGATTTTGTAAATCTAAAATGCCTTCATTCTTTCATCTCACTTATTGATACGATGGGTGTAAAGTTGAAGAATGAGAATTTTTTCCCCCAAGATTTTGAAAGCATTGTTACATCTACCTCTAGGTTTCAGTTGCTGTGGAGAAGTCTAAGTTTCTTCTGATTTATAAGCCTTTGTGTTCACTTTTTTTTTTGCTCTCCTTTATGGGAGGTCTTAAGGTTGATTTTGCCCTCAATCTATTGAAATTTCACAATGATGTGCCTTAGTGTGAGTCTGTTTTCATGCATCGTATTAGGTACTTGGTAGGCTCTGTCAATCTGGAAACTCATGTCCTTCAGTCCTGGGAAATTTTCTTACATTCTTTTACTGATCTCTTCTTTTCTGTGTTCTTTTTTCCTTCTTGCTGGAATTCCTATTAATCTTTTGTTAGACCTCTGAATCTCTTACCCTTTCCTTTGTCTTTTCTACCTCTATGTTTTTGTTACTTTCTAAAAGAATTCCACAATTTTATCTTTTCTATCAAAATCCATCCATGAAAATAGAAACCACTTGGGTGTTTAAAACAGAAATAATTTAGTACAGGAAATTGTTTATACAAGTGATGGGAGAGCTGAGAAGCCAGACAGGGATAGTAATGCAACCCAGAGAGTATTAATAGCAGGAAGCCATACAACCCCTAGGCTAAAGGGAGAAATGGAAGAGTTGATGTTACTGAACCCCAAGGGCTAAGAGTATCTGGAACCACAGTGGGCCTGTTAGTGCAGCTGGAGCCATGAACGACATGCTGCCCATGCTGAAGGTGCCAACTGAACCAGATAGATGGGAAAAATACCTTTTCCCTTTCTTCTGCCCTGCATTCTTCTACAAGTGTCTCCAGTTGTCCAAACCCAAGCCAGTATGGGAGTCTGGATAAGGCAGCCTGCGATGGTCAGCCAAAGGAATGGATCTGAGGGCAGAAACACCCAGGAGCAGCTTATGTCCCAGTAACCCCTTCAGTTGATTTTGTTTCTTTCATTTCTGCCCTCATGCTTTGATTCCAAGGGGCTTTTTTCATTGTTGATGACCTCTAAATTTTTTTTGATAACATAGCATTATAGCATTATGTTCTTATTTCATTCATTCATGGATGAATTATAATTTTTGAAAACATTATGATATTTTTAAAATATTACTTCTCCCCACATATGTGGCCTTTGTTTCCTCCAAATATTTTCAGTTTTCTTTGGCTTCTACTTCCAGGTTAGAGGCTTTCCTCAGATTATCTGGTAATCCTTGGGAGTTTGCACATTTCAAAGTAAGAATTATGAAGTTGAGTGGGAGCTCTGAGCACATAGAATGGGCTTGTTGAGTATGAGCTTCACTGTAGAGTGGTTTACATGGACAGTTTGGGGAACTTCCAGTGTATTCTTCCTCTTGGGCTAGTCAGATTCTTCTAGAAAAACACCTTAGATCTGTCCAGAGGGAAAGGTCTAAGAGTAGATGAGTCTGGAAGGGGCTGGAAAAATCTTAGCACTCAGTACCCTATCACTTAAACCTCCTCTTTTGGTACAGCAGCCAGGTCCTCAACTGCTTTTACCTCTCTAAGGCTAGAGACCTGTCTCTTACTCTCTCCAGAGAATAAAGTCTCCAGATTCTGCTGCAGTTAGGGAGGAGTTGGAAAGCAGTCTAGGTCAGATTGCTTCCCTAACCCCACTCCCAGTTCCAAAGGTACCCCGTATGGTCAGTTAGGTGCAAAGCTTTTTAAGACTCTCAAAAAGTATGTATGGGTAGTTACTCAGCTTTCCATAAACCTACTGAAGATTCTGTTGTCTTGGCTCTGTTAAGTCACTTTTGTCTTTTCTACCTGCTTTTCAGCTTCTAAAATTTTGTTGCTAAATCTCTTTATCCTATTCTCTCCAACCTTTAGCTTTATGTCTTAAAAATATGCCTTTACTGTGTTTTTGGTGGCATTTCGAGGAAAAGGAAAATCTGATGCATGTTTTCCATCTGTCTTCTTGCTGTAGAAACAATGAATGCTCTTTATACTACTAAAATTAGTTTTTTATAAGGGTTAAAAAATGAAAATGTCCATCAAAGGGAAATTATTTAAATAAATTATTGAATAAATTTAAATGTTATTTAAATTAAGCCACACAATGAAATAGTATTAGCCACCAAAACTAATGTTTCTATAAAAGGATAATTTAATACCATGGAAAAATGTACCTAATGTAGTAAGTGAAAAACTAGACTACAAACCATATGTTCAAAACAATCACATTTTTAAAAAGTGTATATGTTTTAAAGGGAAACAGTGTCTACTAACATGTAGTCATAATACATACATACACAAAAGAAAGTTATGCACCAGAGATTAAGGATGCTTATCTCTGGATGCTAAGATGATAGATCAGAAAGAAAATAAGCACCCAACAGACAGAAATTCCTATGGAACATAAAAGAGCAAGCATGTCTTCCTGCCTTATATCACACCCTTTGACCAGATTAATGTAAAGATCACCTATTCTTCAGGTTTGCCAGGTTCAGTCCCTTGTCCATGGGTGGTCCCAAGAGTCCTGAGAGTTGTGCAAACCCACAGCCCTTCTCCCTTTTCTAGCCACCAAATGATCCCCATGGTATCCAGAGAGAAGATCTCATCCTGAGTCTTCGCGCTGTGCTGGCTTCCACACCCCGATTTGCTGAGGTGGGTCTGACCAAGGTTAGAGTATGTTGTCTCAGCCCATAGGAGGATCTGAAGGAAGACAGCAAAAGCACCGGGAGAAAGGGCCAGTGGAAATTTAGGGTATGGCATCCTGCAAATGTCTTCATACTTACTTGCATGGCAAGTATCTTCAGACTCCAAAGTAGAAAACTTTACCATCTCTTCATCTAAAGTAGTAATTCAAGCCATATTTGGTGCTCTCTCTTGAACTCCTATAACTTTGCCAACTAGCCCATTTTTCAGGTAACTGGGAGTCTGGCCACAGCTTGTCAGGAAAGTCGGCTTACATCCGTAATTCCTGACTTCTGTGCAGCTCCTCAGTGTGGCGCCTTGCCTTTGGGGACCTGTGGGAGTAAGGACATGGTTGGCCTTGCTGTGGTGTCAACACACCTGTCGCCAGCTTCAGTTCTTCCTTCTCTCCTGTAGTTCCTTCTGCCTTTGCTGATAGAGAAAGTGGATTCTGAGATTCTGAGTGCCAAGCTGGATTCTCTGCAGACTCTGGTGAGTGAATTTTCTTTTTCCAGGATCCAGCTCAATTTAGATAATTGAGGAGTTCTAAAGGATTACAGATTCTTGGAGAGCCATGGAACAGTCCAGTGGACCTCAGGAGAGGATACTGAGGATCTGAGCCTATATGTTGACTGAAAACCTGCAGCTGCATATTGTCTTATGCTATAGTAACTGGGTGGCTACTGAGGAAAGGCTGACTGGGCCTCCCTCTTTATGCTTATTTTTCATCATTGAGGAGAACCTCTTATTTTTCTGTGACTTAGGTAGGACTATTATGAAATCCTGCTGGTTTTCCTGCTGAGAGCCAGGCTCCTTCAGGTGCCATTATGCTGAAATGCCTGCATATCCTATGAAGGCAGCTATACTCACCACTATATCACCAACACATATCCTAGGAAGTCTGAGCATATAGATAGCTGATACCTGTGTTTTCCTTGGCAGAATGCTTGCTGTGCTGTGTATGGGCAGAAGGAACTAAAGGACTTCCTCCCCAGCCTTTGGGCATCAGTCCGAAGAGAGGTGAGTGTTACTGAGATAAACTCATGACTGTTAGCCCCCGGATATCAGGCAGGAGGAGAAAGAGCATACCCTACTCTTTTGCTTCTGGTGTTATGCTCAGTTATTAAGAAGCAAGCAAAAAGGATACATTTATAGTTGAATGACAAGGAAGAGAGTCCATATGTGCATAGGGTCAGCTACTTGATTATAGTGCATGCTCACCTTTGCATTGTGTCTACTTCCTGTACTTCCACAGAAAGGAGCATAGGTCATGGTGCCTTTGGCACCATGCTGAATAGAGGGGAAGAGGAAAACACTTAGGATAAGGGACCCCAATAACCACTGCCTCAAAAAGTATGTGCATCAACCCTAGTGGGACTGAGGACTTGGTGAGAGCATACCTGTTGAGAAGAAACTCATTTAAGGGATTAGTTTCCATTGCTGTGCCCTAAAATTTTCAACTGCCACCCAAAAGGAAATAGGCAGTGGGTGGGTGGAGTCTCACCTGGTGCACGCTCACCTCAGTAGCTGTGGGATCCCTCCCTGACAGGTGTTCCAGACAGCAAGTGAGCGGGTGGAGACCGAGGGCCTGGCAGCCCTCCGCTCCTTGACGGCGTGTCTGTCTCGCTCTGTGCTGAGGGCTGATGCTGAGGACCTCGTTGATTCCTTCCTTAGCAACATTCTACAGGGTAATGGGGCCATGGCAGCTACAAAGGGGAGTGAGCACAACAGAGAAAATTCCTTAAAGCCAATGACCTTTCATGAGTAGCCCCCATTTTTCAATGATTTGGGTTCTGGAGCCCTACTTTGAATTAAAAATAATTTGAGTTGTTCTGCTAGCAAACAGTCCCAGGTCTCAAGCTCCAAATTCTGAGGGCTGCAGAGGTATTAGGCAGCATTTACCCTACTCCCCAGTTTGTGACATGCTGCCCCTCTAGACTGCAGGCACCATCTGTGCGAACCGGACATGAAACTGGTATGGCCTAGTGCCAAACTGTTGCAGGCAGCTGCGGGTGCATCTGCCCGGGCCTGTGACCATATCACCAGCAACGTACTGCCTTTACTGCTGGAACAGTTCCAGAAGCACAGTCAGGTAAGGAAACCAAATGTTTTGAGGAAATGATGGGATAACCTTGGTAGGGTCTCATTCTCATAGAGCATGAGCCAAGTGTTGAACTTGAGCTCAAATAGTAGGTCTTGTGTTTTTACTCCCATTAGTTGCTGCTGGTTTCCTTGTTCGCTCCTTTTCCAACACTCTACATACAAGGATAAATAATGCTCCCCACTTAAAAAGTAGCAGGACTGAAATTCATCAAAATATTCTTTGACTCCAATACCCCGTGTAACATTACAGAGCAGCCAACGGCGGACAATCCTTGAAATGATCCTGGGTTTTTTGAAGCTGCAACAGAAATGGAGCTGTGAAGACAAGGGTGAGGTTACCTTCCAAATGTGGTATCCTGTGGGTGGCTGAGCACTGTAACCCTATAAAAGATGGCAGGCAAAGAGTGTTACAGAGAAGTATTCTAGAACAGTGGTCCTGTTGTTCTGAGGTTGTAGTACAAGAAAACACTTAATGGATGGGACCTGTTTATCTTTTTTTCCAGTGTACTTCTGGGACACTTTATGCCCCAAGGTGTCTTTGCATCAGTGCTGAGGCAGGGCTTCCCTCTAACCGGAACACTGTCTCTCTCCAGATGAAAGGCCTCTGAATGGCTTCAAGGACCAGCTGTGTTCACTGGTATTCATGGCCCTGACAGACCCCAGCACCCACCTTCAGCTTGTTGGCATCCGTACACTGACAGTCTTGGGTGCCCAGCCAGGTACACTAAAGGGAAAGATAAAACATGGGGATATTGGTCCCTTCCTTACAATTTTCTGTCATAAGTGAAGAGCAGTCCTAATTCCCTGGCTCTAAACCACAACTCTGGCTGATTTGGGATTTCTAATAGAACTTTTGGAAGGGTTGTGGTGGCTACAGGGGAAGAAAGATGGTGTTCATGTTTCCTTCTAACATAGATCTCCTGTCTTCTGGGGACATGGACCAGGCAGTGGGTCACCTATACAGACTGAGCTTCCTGGAGGAGGATTCCCAGAGTTGGTGAGAATCTAAAGCAGCGAGAGAGAGTGGTCTGTTCCCGGGCTCTGTGTGTCTGGCCCTTGGCTCTCCGTAGGGGAGGTGGACTCGGCTTGGCTCTGACTTCTAACTCCCACTTCTAAGATGTGGAAGTGCTCTCTTTTCGTGGGCATTAAGAAGCCTGTCTTAGTAATGTAGTGCTTGAGCCCTGCTCTTCAGCAAGGTGGTGTTGGGAGCCCGTGCTCCTGAATCTGCAGAATGGCAGTCCCAGCCAAGAGAACCGTGGTTTAAGCCTCTGCTAATGCTCATTTGCCCTGTACCCCAGCAGGGTGGCAGCACTGGAAGCATCGGGAACCCTGGCCACTCTTTACCCTGGGGCCTTCAGCAGCCATCTAGTATCCAAGCTTGCTGAGGAGCTGTGCATAGGTATGTGTCTCCAGTCTTCTGTAGCTCACCCCTTCCCAGGGAGGCTTGGAGGACTTGAATGTGCTCTCACACAGTGAAACCTTGTCTGCTGTGCTCCTTTTAGGGGAGTCAGATTTGGCCAGAGGGGACAGACTCAACGAGTGCTCCCGGCACCTGTGCTGTCTGCAAGCCTTGTCAGCTGTGTCAACCCACCCGAGCATTGTCAGGGAGACCGTACCTCTGCTGCTGCAGCACCTCTGTTGGATGAACAAAGGTAGCTCCCAGGGATAATCGAGGAGCTGGGCTGAATGGGGAACCATAGTCAGGTTTGGAGTTGATGCCTGTAAGGCAGTGAGTGGTTCAGCTGATGGCTGTACTTAAGAGTTGTTTAAAAGTGCTGATGCCTGGGCCTCACTCACTCCAGCTGATTCAGTCTCTGAGGATGGATGGGATTTTGGGGCAACAATAATTGTTAAGAGTGCCTAGGTGATTCTATTGTGGAGTCAGAAGAGAAAAGTACTACTCCAACGCCATGCTTCTCAAAATATGGTCCATCAACCAGCAGCATGGGCATTATCTAGGAGCTTGTTAAAAGTGCAAAATATTCTCAGGTCCCACTGATCAAAATACGCATTTTAACAGGCTCTCCGGGCAACTGGTAAGCACCCTTGACTTTGAGAACTGCTCCAAGGCATAGTGACAGCAGCTCTTGCTACTGTGTGCTCACCATGAACTCTCACTAATTTCCTAAGCTCCCTCTTTTTGCTGCCCAACCCTTTGTGGTAGATTGTCAACGGTGACTGATCTAGCAGCCGTTACATAGTAGAAAGAACACAACACTCAGAGTGTGGCCTGGGTTTGATTCCTGGCTGCACTTACTGTGACCCTGGAAAAACCACTGGGAGTTTCATTGAGACTCCACATCCTCCTCTATAAAATGGGGGAAATGATACTTCTAGTGTTGTCATGAAAACTAAATGGAAAAATGCAAATGAATGCTTCTGTCACACAGCTGGCACAGAGCAGGTCTCAGCTCTGAAAACTGAATAGATGAAAAAGAATAGCCAAGGAAACAAAATGACTTGGCTTTTTATAAGACATTCTTGGTTTCTTTGGTCATTTGTCTTTGATTATTCTGTTATCTTTAAGAAGTGCTTTTAAGAAAACCTTACAGAGAACTCTGTCACCGCACAGGGAATCTGTTTGCAGGGACAAATGAAGTTATTGCTGTCTGTCAGAGCCTCCAGCAGGTGGCAGAAAAATGCCAGCAGGACCCGGAGAGCTGCTGGTATTTCCATCAGACAGCTGTACCTCACCTGCTTGCCTTAGCTGTGCAGGCTTCCCTGCCAGGTAACTTTTACCACCTCACCCCCATCCTTCCTCTGGACTTGGGCCTCCCCCTAGTGTTGACATTGAACAGCGCTGCCACCCTTGGGGTATCACCTGCATTGCAGTTTGTAGCAGCAGAGGCTTCCTTTGAATCCTTTGTCCCCATGGTGAGATTTCACTTCAAGCCAAGGGTATAAACCTGACCAAAGGCAGGAACCCAAATCTACTAGTTAGCAGCACACCTTTCCCCCTTTAAATGCTGTGTAGTTTGTTTAGTTAGAATTAGTCTCTGGAGTCGGGCTGATCTGCTTGGGTTTCATCTTCAGTTCTACCCCTTGTTCTAACTTAGGTGAAGATATTTAGCCTTTCTAAGCCTCTGTTTCCTCCTGTAAAGGGTGGGGGGCGGGTAACATCTGTATCACAGGATAGTTGGTGAGATTGAATAAGGAAATGCATAGAGCCTGGATAGTAATGAACGTGTGGTAGCTGCTATAATAACAAGAACCCATAAAGGGAAATCCATGTTATCTTTAAGTGTTTGAAAAGACTAACATAACAATTTCTGGTGTTAAGAGTGCTCATTTTAGGCAGCCTTATTTTCCATTAATGCCCAGTCTAAGGACTGCACAAAGTTCTAAAGAGTGCTGTGTGACCCAAGTTAAACCACTCCTGCATCTGGTACCTTGCTGATTCTAAGGGCTACACCACCACTAGACGACAGGTTAAAAACTGCCTCTGTTGTGACTAGAGTCAAGCCCCAGAGTCACGATTATAGGACATAATCATCTGAACCATAGTCATGGCCTTGTGATTCTGTGTGTGTGTTTCAATTTTGCAGAGAAGGAACACTCAGTTCTGAGAAAAGTACTGTTGGAGGATAAGGTCTTGGCTGCCATGGCGTCTGTCATTGGCACTGCCACTACCCACTTGAGCCCAGAGTGAGTATGATTATGGACGTGGCTTGATCCCAAGAAGGATAGAAATCTTGGAAAGAGGCATCAGCTAGTTGCCTTCTGAGCTGTCCTTGAACTCAGAATCAATGTGGAGGCATTGGAGGCAGTTATTTGTTTTATAAGTTTTGTTGGCAAAGCAAAAGAAAGGGGCTTTTAGCACCATAGATTGGACTGTGGGGGGTTGGGGAGCCGTGGTTGGGGAAGCCATTGGTTCCTAGCTGCATGTGGGCATAAGAACCACCTATGGAGCATTTTTTAAAATATACCTTGAGTTCTCTCACTAGATTGTAGGCTCCAGGAGACTAAGGATTTGATTTGTCTGGTTCACTGCTGTATCACCAGGACCTAGAATGGCAGTGGTTCCTGGTATATAATGTATTCTGAATTAATACTTGTTGAATGTGTGAATGACCATGTTCTGGCCCATTAACTCAGTGACTAATGTGACCCCAGGGCTGCTTTAGAACCCTGGCTCCTTGGTGATACCTAGTGCTCTACCCCCAGCTTAGCTGCCCAGAGTGTCGGCCACATTGTGCCCCTTTTCTTGGATGGCAACATCTCCTTTCTGCCTGAAAACAGCTTCCCTTGCAGATTCCAGCCATTCCAGGTGAGGGTCAGATGGATCAGACTGGGGACAATCTTGGGACTTCCGTCCTTCAAATTTTTAGGCTAATCTGGGATGGGCTATCTGGGAAGACAAGCCTATTGCTGACAGGACAGGCCTGATAGTGCTCTTCTTCCTTACAGGGAGGCTCCGCAGCACAGAGGCGGCTGGTTGCACTGCTTATGGCCTTTGTCTGCTCCCTGCCTCGAAATGTGAGTGAGCCCAACATTTGGGGAGTGCCCTAGGATAACCCTGACAAGGGGAGCTGGATCCCAAGTGACTAACAGGCTGAAATTTGTCACAGGCTAAGCTGATCTTCTACTTTGCCCACTGGAGAATTTAGTTCTCATTCATCCTGGCCCCTGCTGTTACTTCCCTACCATGTTTCTCTTGGAGTGCGGGGTCCATTACATGGTCAGGTTTCCTGTAGGTGGAAATCCCTCAGCTGAACCAACTCATGCAGGAACTTCTAGAGCTGAGCTGCTACCACAGCTGCACCTTCTCCTCCACTGCTGCCACCAAGTGCTTTGCAGGACTCCTCAACAAGCTCCCTGCAGGTACCAGGATGAAGCTGGGGTCAGGAGCCTTCCTCAGTCAACTAATGATGACATTTTGAAGTTCGGTCCTCATTCTCTTTAAAAAAAGAGCTGCCAGTAATATAATAGGTCCTCTCAAGAGACAGCCCTTGGGAGAAGAGTCAAGATCAGAGTTGGGCAAAGCATTACAGGACATAAGATAAGGGAGTACAAGAAGAGCGCTCTAGTTCCGTCATCTTGCCCCATACAGGGAGCAATTAGGGATGCTTCATTATTTGAAGTAGACAAGTCTTTGTGAAGGCCAGCACCCCTGTCTTATCATAACACCAAGCTCTCATGCTGACGTCTAGAACTGAGTGGGCAAAGCCCAGAGCCAAAATAATAGGATTCTTTTCTAATGGCTTCTCCGGGAACTCTGCATTGAAATAATTTTAATCCTTTGTTGTTAAAGGAAAAATATGTAGCCTTTGCATCAGCATTTCCTCCCTCCTTTTTAGGGCAACAGCTGGATGAATTCCTACAGCTGGCTATCGACAAAGTGGAGACGGGCCTGAGTTCTGGGCCCTATCGTAGTCAAGCCTTCGCACTGCTTCTCTGGGTAAGGAGTCAGAATGAATTCTTGTTAGACAGAGACAGTTATATCTGGTTAAGTAAAATTTCTCTATTTTTGAACTATAAGCATGCTTCTCAGGGCTCTGAGGTTTGAGTGTCATGCCCTGACCTTTATTTTTCTCTCTGATTACAGGTAACAAAGGCCCTAGTGCTCAGATATCATCCTCTCAGCTCC